GGATTACGGTTAAATGACAAGCTCTCACTGTGTGTGCTGTACTGCCTCGTTTACCTACGATGGACTGTTAATAAGCGTTGATTTTAGCACAACCTGGTACTACATGACTGCAAGAAAAGTACCAAACTTGATTTGCAAGATTCGCCAGAAAGTCGGTCCTGGCCCCGTCTTCTGTGCTCATGAAGTCTTCCAGTTCAATAAAAGGCCAGTTATGCACCTATTTCAAACAGTTCTAAGCCCTTGTTTACATTATTGCATTCAGTGGGGTAGCGCCTGAGTAATGGGAGGTAATCAGGGTTCAATACGAGTAATGGGAAGGTAGATCAAGTGCCAGAGATACAAAGTCCTTTACCCGCATCGAGGTGACCTTTCTACTGAAATACCCTTGCTCGCGTCCTCCTGTTGTTTCTGAGGGGGGCAGCAACACCACCCCTCAAGGGGCTTTTGATCCAAGGAATAGGACCTGACCTCCCCTTCCATGGATCGAACCTGAGCGAGTTTAGAATATTTCATATACTGAAATATTCTTAACTGATGACCATCGTGTAGTCGATAAGATTAAAACCCTCATTTACCAACCTTTAACCACCTTGAACTCCCGTTCTCTCCTCTGCACTGTTTTTTTTTTTACATCGTTAAATAAAATTCCACTCTGTATTTATTTCGTTCTATGTTTTACGAAGTGGCCAAAAATTAAGCAATATATCGCTATAAACCAACGGTACAACGCAATAGGCGGAAGTGATTTATAGTGGTCTCGTAAATTCACTCTGGGCGCACCCTCCTTTATTTCCTGTTTTCCTCTACTTGGTAACATTTATTTCCCATTTTCCTACATCAGGTGACCTTTATTTCCTGTTTTTCTGTACCTGGCAAAATTTCCTATTCTTTTCTATATCAGGTGTCACTTATTTCCCGTTTTTCCTATATCAGGTGGCCATTATTTCCGTTTTTTCTGCACTTGGTAACACTTATTTCCCCTTTTTCCTGTATTAGGTGACCTTCATTTCCGGTTTTCTGTATTTCGTAACATTTATTTTCCATTTTCCCATATCAAGTGATCTTTATTTCCGGATTTTTCTACTACAGGTGACCATTATTTCTTGTTTTTCCTACATTAGGTGACCTTTATTTCCTGTTTTTCCTGAACTTTGTAATATTTATTTCATATTATCCTACTCCAAGTGTCCTTTATTTCCTAAACTTGTCAGTAGTAAAAGGCCATTACGACTTGAAAAAGCGAAACATCGCCTGAGCAAGCCCTAAACAGAGCGAAATGTGACTTGATAAAGCTCTTCATAGAGCTAAACATGACTTGATAAAAGCTCTACATAGAGTACAACGTGATTTAATAAAGCTCTACTAAGCGTGAAACATGATGACCTTCTACAATGAGCGAAACATCATTTGATAGAGCTATACATAGAGTGAAACGGTCCAAAAGGTGTCTTTTTTTCCACTATTGTCAACAGGACGCAGTTTGAGTCAAAATCAATATTTTTAAAGCTGAGGTCCGAGTATCTAAAGTCATCCTAATACCCTACAATTCCAGCAGCTTTAGGCGAGGAATAAAGCACCGTCGGGGATTTCCAGTGGACAGTATCGCAGGCCACATGCATTTTTAAGATTAAATAAATCAAGTTGTCGACCCTCTTCCCAGTGCTGCCCAAGCCGGTCTTGGTGTGTCAGCTCAATGTATGCGAGACGACTGATCCTGGGGCTCGGGATGAGGGTTGATCCTGGGACTCGGGATTAAGGCTGATCCTGGGGCTCGGGATGAAGTTTGATCCTGGGGCTTGAGATGAGAGCTGATCTTGGGGCTTGGGATGAAGGCTGATCCTCGGGCACGGGATGAGGGTTGATCCTGGGGCTCAGGATTAAGGCTGATCCTGGGGCTCGGGATGAAGTTTGATCCTGGGGCTTGAGATGAGGGCTGATCTTGGGGCTTGGGATGAAGGCTGATCCTGGGGCTCGGGATGAAGTTTGATCCTGGGGCTTGGGATGAGGGCTGATCTTGGGGCTTGGGATGAAGGCTGATCCTGGGGCTCGGGATGAAGTTTGATCCTGGGGCTTGAGATAGGAGCTGATCTTGGGGCTTGGGATGAAGGCTGATCCTGGGGCTCAGGATGAAGTTTGATCCTGGGGCTTGGGATGAGGGCTGATCTTGGGGTTTGGGTCGAGGGATGGAAATAGAGTGTACTTGAGAATTACATATTATTATTATTATTATTATTATTATTATTATTATTATTATTATTATTATTATTATTATTATTATTATTATTATTAATATTATTATTTATATTACATTCACTGGGAATCTCTAAACCCTTTTGCATTATACAGTTCTCAGGAAATAAGAGGCAATCAGGTTTGATCCAATTCCTGGGATCAAGAGGCCTTTCCCATCATAAAAGAACCTTCATCTGAGGGGGTTTAAAATAAAACAATGGTAAGGATTCACATATATGTAAATAACCATAAAAATATGCTGCATTTGGTTATCATTTTCGAGATTCCCTGAAGATGTGTGTCAATGCACGAAAGCGTTGGGTTTCACCTTTCTTTTATTTTCCCAAAGAGTTTTTTCACTTATAAATATTAAATCCATAAAATTTAAGAACATAGTGTTTTCTGAAAATAAAGGCATTGAAATGGAAGCAATATTCGACACGCAGGATAGATCTCTGGTTGGAGTGGGCAGAGCCTATTAATGATAAATGGGAAAAAAGTGAGAGATGAATAAAAAACTGTGGAGAAGCTAGAGAAACATAATAAATGGAAAAGTGTCTGTTGGCTGGGCTTTGGAGCGCACTTGAAAGTGAGGCGACCAGACGGTGGTCCAGTGTCACTGCAGGAATGTGTGCGTGTATGTGTGTGTGTGTGTGTATGTGTGTGTGTATGTGTGTGTGTGTGTGTATATGTGTGTGTGTGTGTGTGTGTATGTGTGTGTGTATGTGTGTGTGTATGTGTGTGTGTGTTGTTTTGTATGTGTGTGTGTATGTGTGTGTGTGTGTGTATGTGTTGTGTGTGTGTGTATGTGTGTGTGTATGTGTGTGTGTATGTGTGTGTGTATGTGTGTGTGTATGTGTGTGTGTGTGTGTGTGTGTGGGGTGTACTCGTCTAATTGTACTCACCTAATTGTGATTGCAGGGGTCGAGACTCAGCTCCTTTCCCTGCCTCTTCGCTGATCGCTACTAGGTTTATCGACATGTACATATACATTTGCCTCATCTCTTTGCTCTGTATTATCACGTGTTCCCTCCCTCTCCTAACCTTAAACTCTTCAGTTTCTTTTACTTTCCAGACTACGTCCAACATTTCACCTTTCTGCGATATATTGAGGCTTGACTCTGAGGCGCTATTTTGCCCAGGTACGCCTACTGTAATGTGGTCGATACCATATACACCCTGAGGTTGTTGTTCCTGCTAGTGGTTTGTAGCCTTTTACTCCTAGTCTTTTATAATAATCACTAATTTTTAAAGGGGTGGATCAATAAGCCAGCTGAGGGCCTCGGTCAGATGACCAGAAGCTCCAGTGGCGGGTCATCATATGACTAAGACCCGCGTCAGGAAACACTTGTCCTGTTTCCTGACAAACTTTACCTAACTTAACCTCCCTAGTCTCTGCTTCGTCCCACTGAAATGAATCCAACTGATACACATAAATATAATTATAATGATATACGATGTTACATTGGCAAACTGGAGTCGCAACGCCGACGAGTGGTGAAAAGAGACACTCATAGATAAATGTTGCACCACCAAAGGACTTCACTGTTGCTAGTGCTTGTTTCACGCGTCACGGGTTGTCTTTCAGATTCCCTGAGGTTCATAACTTTTCATTTGCTTAGACTGAATTTCAGCAGCCATTTGTCTGGCCATCAATGCAGTCTGTCCATGTCCTCGTGTAGGATTTCCATACTTTCTCTAGTATTTTTATTCTTCTTCTTAGTTTCACATCCCTGGGTGGCCAGAGACAGGGTCGCGATGAGAGAGGGAACACTGAACCTCCACCACTCCTTGTGCTGAACCACCCACAGATATTTAACACTTTAAGAAACACCTGAAAGACATCATACGTGAATAGCAGCGCAAGTGATTAAGTCGTTTCTGTCATGTTGTTAATGTATGTGAGGGACAGTACTGGTTCCAACACTAATCCTTGAGGTACCCCAATTATCACTTTGCTCGCCTTGATACCTATTCCCTGTATTATATTAGTAATAGCATAGAATGCCTACAAGTTAATGTATATGGCACAAGACTATAGAGATGAATACTTCTCCAAGCTGAAGAACTGACCCCCTTCCTTCTCAAAATTGCTACCTTAAGGCTGATTAACTGATCACATCATCTTTCCCTTTCCATTGCATCAGCTGTCTCCATATTTAGTCATCTCTGTATTCAGCAGAAGAAGCTTTCTGTATAGGGCACTTGTGCTCTACTCGTCTACCTCCTAACTGACCATCAATTCTGTCGTGGACCGGGCCGCGGGGGCGTTGATCCCCGGAATAACCTCCAGGTAACCTCCAGGTAGTGTAGTACCTTACCCTCTCTGCTCTTCCAGTCTGCGCAGCAATCTATGGTCTGTTCTAGCCAAAGAATGTGCGGTTCACTTACTCCTGTTTTCTTTTTATTTCATTTTTCTTGCCTCCTGTCGAAAAAGTTCGTAAGTCAGGATTTAACTTCTCGAAATCCGTGGCGGCTGTCTTTTGTTTGCGAATTTTTGCTGTTCCTCTGGTGCTTTTCCTTTTGAATATAATCTATATTGTGACGAACCAGAATTTTCATGTCTCTACTACTTACCCAAACAAAAAAATATTTTTGAGGATACAGAATCAACAGATAGCCACCAAAATTATTTAAAATATATATATATTATATATTTATAAAATATATATAAAATATTTTATATATATATATATATATATATATATATATATTTATATATATATATATATATATATATATATATATATATTATATATCATCTTCGCCATCGCTTCGTCACTACATCCCGTTGTTCTAGAAATTAAACAATAATTTAAAAATCAAGAGAGAAACATGTTGCTCACCCATCTGGAATTTCACTCCCAACATACTTATTTCAAAACATTTTTTTCATGTGCATTTTGGAAGCTCAACACCAACAGGGTATACACACCGGGGTATGAGGTCCCTGGGATGGATTGGACAGAGAGGGAGGGTCTGGTTGGATTCTGGCACGGGGCATCCCTGCATGGATTCTTCTGAGAGGAGGAGGGAAGAAAGGACAGACTCATTGGTATGGATTGGGCAGAGTTAGGAAGGGTAGGGTTAGACTGGGGTACTGGATCCCTGAGATGGATTGGGCAATGCGAGGAAGGACCGGGTTAGACTGGGGGTACTGGGTCCCTCAGAATGGATTGGGCAGAGGAAGGAGGGGGGGGGGGGAGGTAGGTAGGGCCAAGTAATAACTTGACGTGTTGGGGTGCGCGATCTGTTGCTCCTGCAGGCAGGCTTGGCCCAGGCAGTCAGCGCCGCGCAGTCACTTAGGACGGACGCGCGTACCACCTGTCTCTTCGCTCTCGGCTCAACAACTCCCCTCACAACCAGTTTCCCCCTTCACCTCACTGGCGGTCCTCGTGTGTGTAGTTCGGCCAGCGTCTGCGTCAACTAGTACTGTAGTGACGTGGATCAGCCATCACCATGAAGAAGCCCCAGACACTCTCACACTCGTGGACTACTCCAGACAGAGCAAAAGAGGGATGTTTCGTGGCAAGATGATTCGCATGCGGTGATGCCGGGAGGTTTCTACTGCTCTCTCGTTTACACACGTTCGCGGTCGCTCACTCCATCAGGATGGTGATCAAATGTAAAGTTTGTACGAACCTGGTCCTGGGACTGATGAACGCTTGGTTGCATTTTATTGCAGGATAAATTTCGTTAAGAAAAAGTGTGTTATTGTTCTTTTATGATATGGCCAGTGAAATATACTTAATTTTACTTCCTTTTAAATAATTAAAAGAATGTAATTTCACGAATGATAATACCTATTGTTATACAAGTTACGTATGATTTGTTTTTGTTTGAAAGCGTAACACAGCCTCTACTGAGATAAATTGGTGCTTAAATGTCAAATTTCATTAACAAAATTTTTCACTCACTCGATCATCTAAATAATACAGGAATCGACAATAGATACAAATAGATATAACAAACTTTCAGCAACAGAAGATGACGGGGAGTGCATTGCTTGTACCTGAGACGATTAATAGATTCTGTGTGCATGGCAGCCTCAAGATTCCTTACAACTATCAGTTAAAAACATAATTGTGTCGTCTGGAGAAAAGATCTATGTGTTTGTGTGTGCCTTGGGGTGAGAAGTAGTGGTGGTGGGAAACTAATTGTGGTACAAAACGCTATTGTTCGAGCGAGAAATATCTACTTGAGCAGTATGTGACGGGTGATCAGGATAAGTTGTTTTGGTTGTAAACTGTGCGACTGATGAAGTGTTTGAAAAGCAGAAGGCGTGACCTTAAAACATTTAAGAGCAAAATGTTGTTTTGGTATTATCTATGATAATTAGAAACTAATGAGTATACAAAGTATTTTCCAATTATATTTGATCAAATTTTGGGTTTACTGAACTGAAAAAAAAAATATATAGAACAAGATTTTGCACGGAAGAAAACGAGCGTGGAGAACTGCATAACCTTTGTTGATAAATTTATTAAAGCGTCATTTGCAAGAACAAATATGTAGAGCTCTTCAGCACATTGGTCCAAGGGGGTGACTAAACTTTCCAAGACCCACTTTGGACCCTTCAAGCTTTACTCCACACCACCCTTGACCCTCCCGTCCCTCCCTTCCCTACCCCCTTGTTTATTACCCCATCTTGTCCACCCTCCGCTTTGTTCTTTGTCTTCTTGCCCACATCAGTCTTTAAGAAGCCTGAGTTTTCTTAACCCAATGTCTGCTACCTGAGAATAGAAGTCCTGGACTCATCATGGATGGCTTGACCGTCAACCTAACAGCTGAGGTAGAAGATTCTGCCGGTTTCCTGGAGTATGTAGAAGCTTACGACCAAGACTTGGAGGGCTTTGAGAGTAATGGCTCCCTGGCGCTTATTAACGACACCTTCAATGGGACCTATTGGGTATATCCTTGGGGTAGCTCCATGTACCCCTCGGGCTACAGCACTCTCGAAATCGTCATCATCACTGTCATCATTACTGTGGCTATGATCGTGGTGGTGGTGGGTAATATGCTAGTGATCATCGCCATCGCCACAGAGAAAGCACTTAAAAACATCACCAACTGGTTCATTGCCTCCCTGGCAGTGTCGGATTTTCTGTTAGGGCTGGTCATCATGCCTTTCAGTCTCGCTAACTTGCTCATGGGCTACTGGATGTTTGGCGACCTTTGGTGTGAACTCCACGCCGCCATAGACGTTCTATTATCCACAGCTTCCATAAACAACATCTGCCTCATCTCACTAGACCGCTACTGGAGCATCACCCACGCAGTGGCCTACCTGAAGAAGAGAACACCGGAGCGAGCGGCCATTATGATTGTGGCCGTGTGGCTCTTCTCTGGCCTCGTCTCCATTCCGCCTTTGCTAGGCTGGAAAGAAGTACGCGCCCCTGAGGAATTCCCCAAATGCACGGTAAGAATGTGCCACACTCTTAGCAGGTAAACACGAATTCTCCAAATTCTTTGAGAGTAGACATTTAGTTAGACGAACTATAAAGTTTCCATTTATTTTTGAAACAGACAATTTCGAAAAAAAACGAGTTTTTCCGTCTCTCTGGAAGGTTGTTTACACAAAATAATTGAAGTAACCACGCAGCGAAATGTGAAAGACATTCTTCAGTATACTGACCCCGGGATGTTAACCAAACGCAACCCAAGAAAACCAAGCAGTGTGGCTTATTTCCGGTGGGGTAATTCCGGTTCCTTCTCCGAGATGCGACTCGCAACATCCGACTAAAACCAGGGTATCTATTTACTGTAGGTGAACAGGGGCAGCCGGTATATAAAGAATTACTCAAACGTTTCGCACACTAGGAAATCAAACCCCGATCTTTATGCTGCCTCCTCATGCAGCTGGACTGTGTTGTGTAAATATGTTTCGACATTCGCTCTTGAAAACAATTTTTATTTTATTTTTAATTGCTCTGAAACGAGCACTGCTTAATTAGGTTAGGCATCAAAGACGCATCGCAGAAATTAACGAAAGTTCCGTATCAAAGCCCAGGTGAACCTACAACCAGCAGCACACTGGGAATAATAAAATTTTACTATAGATTCAAAACCGAAGGCGGATCAAAGAGAAGAGCATTTCTCTGCTTCAAGTAGATCATTTCTTTTCCAGCATCTTTTCCTCATATCTTCGTTTCTCGAAAACTTGTAATGAAAAACTGTCACGAATTTACCATTCATAACTTGATAATGGTCCAGCAGGGGGCCAAAACGACGCATATTAATTTCCTTTACAAATCGTGTTTTAGAAGTAAACGCTTGGAAGTTCACTGTTTTTTCACGGTGGTTGTTTTTGTTTATCGTGATATCACCTATTATATATAAGCAAACACAGCCACCGCGAAAAATAGTGAACTCCCAAGCGCTTACGTGATTAATAATGTGAGAAATCACGAAAGCGCTTGGAAGCTCACTATTTATTCACAGTGGTTCTTTTGCATTTGTACATATATGTAGTACCGAATAGGCAAAACTTGCGATTTTGGCTTAAGTAGCAACGCACTTCTTGCCGAATAAGGCAAGCAAAAATCTGTGTTTATGCAATAATTTCGCAAAAATTATTCTGAACCTAACGAAAAAATATATTTCATTGCCTTTGTTTATTATTAAATTATTATATTATCTAAAATATATTTAGCTGGATTAGGCTAAATTAAATTGCGCTTGTTAAAATAAGGTTAGGTAAGTTTTCTAAGGTTCTTTCGGTATTTCGGTACAAAATCATTAATTTTTACATTAACATATATGAAAAAAAAATCTTTAAACGTACAAGAGAAAATTTTAGAAAGGACTTAATTTTAAATGAGTTCTTGCTAATTGTCTAGTTTTACTTTCTATATATATATATTATATATATATATATATATATATATATATATATATATATATATATATATATATATATATATTATATATATATATATATATATATATATATATCGCTAGAAGCACTCGTAAATAAAGAGGGAAACAACAACTGAGAATTAAGTAAACAAAACTCTTATTACCAAACCACACATGAGAAAAATATACACAAAGAATAACAGAGAGTGCGAGGAAGGGAGAGAGAGAACATAACACATATTCTGTCTCAAGGAATAAACACTCCAAGAACAACAAACAGCAGAATGAACATAACTATCAGAGTATCAAAATAAACACAATAACAAGCACACAAAGAATAACAAAGAACAGGGTGGGTTGACGTAACTCTCCAACTGTCACAAGGAAACACACAGGAAGAAACAAAAGTGTGACGGGAAACAAAGTTCAACGTAAACATAACTTTCAACCTACCTCCAGACGCACACACAAAATAAAGAACATTGACGGTGTTCTCCACACTCATAAAAATAAAAAAATATCTTTGAGGAACCTAGAAGAAGTGTCCAGAGCACTAAACCTGGCTTTATACCTCTTTCTCTATGGAGTTGAATACTTCAAGGTTGAGGGACTGATCACCTGAAGACTACTTCAAGGGTGAGGGACTGATCACCTGAAGACTACTTCAAGGGTGAGGGACTGATCACCTGAAGACTACTTCAAGGGTGAGGGACTGATCACCTAAAGACTACTTCAAGGTTGAGAGACTGATCAACTTTAGACTACTTCAAGAGTGAGGGACTGACCACCTCAAAACTACTTTAAGGCTGATAGGCTAATCACCTTAAAACTACTTTTTCATGACTAAGGGACTGACCCCTTCCCCGCAAAACTAACTACGGTGAAGGATGACGTAGGTTACACAGACTGATTACATCATCGGTACCTCAACATTGATTCCTCAACCTCCATATTCAGTCACTTCTGTATTCGACTGAAAAAACCTTCATGAGCGAAACGTTGCGGAAATTAAGTTACCTAGCTGTTACATATATGTCATATTTATCAACTTGTCGGTACTGTGAACTATTAATATAATGATTCGCCGAACAGGCTTGCAGGTGTTGGTATAGGGCTCTTGATCCAAGGAATTAGAGATACTTTTGCCTTGGATCGAAGCTTACTACATCTCCACTCAAATTATAAAGTATGCAATGATACTTTGAATCCATAGCTGATACAAGAAAAAACTTGAAAAGGTACAAAGGTTCTCAACCAGACTAGTCAAGATTCTGAGAACAGCTAAAAATGAAGAGGAGACATGATTAAGACGTATAAAATACTTCGATGAATATGAAAACTAAAAAAAACAGGATTACCAAAAGAGAAGTGGAGAGCAATATAGAGAAGATTTTACCCTGAGATCGGTGAAGGGCTCTTGATCCCAGAAACTAGAGCTACCCTTCCTTGGATCAAACCCGAGCTACTCCCTTTCTCCAGTAGCTGTATGGCCAATATGGGTTTAGCTACATCAATGGTCCTGTTACATCAAATCAGCCAGCACACACACACACACACATACACACACACGGGGCCAGGCGTCATGACTCGACCCCTGCAACCACAATTAGGTGAGTACACACACACACACACACACACACACACACACACACACACACACACACACACACACACACACACACACACACACAAACACACACACACTGGTATTTATGAACGACATGACAGAAGGAATAGACTCCGAAGTGTCCCTGTTTGAAGATGATGTGAAGTTGATGAGAAGAATTCAGTCGGACGAGGACGAGGCCTGCAGCCTGCTGGGCAGGCTGCAGGCCTGGTCCAGCAACTGGCCCTTGGAGTTCAACCCCATCAAGTGCAAAGTCATGAAGATTGGGGAAGGGCAAAGAAGACCACAGACGGAGTACAGTCTAGGGGGGCCAGAGACTACAAACCTCACTCAAGAAAAAGGAACTTGGGGTGAGTATATCACTGGGCACATCCCTTGAAGCGCACGTCAACCAAATAACTGCTGCAGCTTACGAGCGCCTGGCAAACCTAAGAACAGCATTCCGCCAGCTTAATATGGAATTGTTCAGGGCCCTGTACACTGTGTACGTTAGGCCCATATTAGAATATGCAGCACCAATTTGGAACCCACACCTAGACAAGCACGTAAGGAAACTAGAGTGAGTACAAAGGTTTGCAACAAGACTAGTCCCGGAGCTAAGAAGTATGTCCTACGAGGAGAGGTTAACGGAAATCGACCTGACGACACTGGAGGACAGTAGAGATAGGGGGGATATGATAACAACATACAAAATACTGAAAGGAATCGACAAGGTGGATAGACAGGATGTTCAAGAGATGGGACACAGCAAAAAGGGGTCACAGATGGAAGATGATTACTCAGATGAATCACAGGGATCTTAGGAAGTATTTCCTCAGTCACAGAGTTGTTGGGAAGTGAAATAGTCTGGGAAGTGATGTAGTGGAGGCAGGATCCATGCATTGCTTTAAGAAGAGGTATGATAAAGCTCATGGAGCAGGAAGAGCGACTAAATGGTGACCAGCGAAGAGGGGGGCTAGGAGCTGTGAATCGACCCCTGCAACCACAGCTAAGTGAGTACACACATGCACACACACGCACACACGTATACAAACACACCACACGCACACACACACACACACACACACACACACACACACACACACACACACACACACACACACACACACACACACACACACACACACACACACACAGCCAAGATCTGTGAATCGACCCCTAGAACCACAAATAGGTAAGTACACACACAGTATTTCTCTCTCTCTCTCTCTCTCTTACTCCAACCAATAAAGCTAGATTGCTTTCACTTGTGTGTACACCTTCTTATAACAACAAGCAAGATAACAGGAAGTATCGATCTCACATCCACCTCCATGACCTTGGATCAGAAACAATGAGGCGCTGCCGGAAGAGCGAGCATCACCGGGAGATGACAGCATCAGAGGCACAGCTGAGTCTCTTTGAAGCTGGGCAGCTAATCAAACCACAGCTGAGGAATGCCATTAAGAATTTTGAATATATTAACTCAAGTTTACATCCGTAAAAGCGGGCTGGTTTGTGGGGTAATTTGTTTGCATTAATATAGACATTCATGAAGATATTCACTGGTACAAATCTAATACATTATACAAGCATAGGAAATAAATCATTATATAATTGAACTCATGATGTTAATTTTAAATATATAATATAGATATATATATATATATATATTATATATATATATAACATATCTACTATATATATATATAATATATATATATATATAATAAATTAATGAGACGTATAGAGTGTGACTATGCTCAGTGTGTCAAGAAGTGAAGAGTAGTATTAGCACATTGATTTTATTGATGCTTCTGGTTTTTAAACTCCGGAGTGTTGTGACCTTCACTCGTGTGAGAGCTGGGATTGTCTTACACTATGTGTTGATGTACCCTTGTATCTGATCAGTCTTAAGGAACTGCTGTGTTATTGGAGGTCTCTTGATCCATTGAGTTGGAGTTACCCTTCTTTTCCTTTTGTCAAAACTGATTAGCGTCCATCATTAATGCATTGTATGCCCCTATTAATATGAAGCTTTCCCTAGTTATATAATAATGCATATTTTGACTGTCCTCTATCCTGTTAAGCATCGTGGTAAGAGATACATGCAATTTAAAATGAAGTTTTATACTCAGTGGGAAGCCAGTATGTCACCAAACCTCGCAAATTATGATTGATGGGGCTTCACGAACACGCACGGTGTGAGGAAGTGGTAAACCGGCTTGGCTACTGCCCCATTAATTTTCCATTCTTTGGAATTTAAAAAATAGCACTCGTGGTATTTTTTTTCATAATTCACTTTGCATGCTAGGAGCTATTATCCTACTTCATCTTATTTCATAACCCAAAGCTATCTAAATTATGTTGTTACCTTCTAGAATTTTGTGAAAAATCCACTTCTATAACTGATCTAGTTATTTGTGACAAAATATCACAATATTCCTTATAGCCGAATACGCTTGTAAACAGAGTGTATGTTCATTGAGAAGTGTGCATCAATCACTGTATATATATTCAGAGAGAGAGGTGTCTCCTACAGTGTAATATGCACCGAGAAGCGCGTAACTCTAAGCGTATCTATTACCGAGAGGTGTGTCTCTCTTAGTGTTTATCTCTCTCAGTTTATATATACCGAGAGGTGTGTGTCTCTCTCAGAGTATATATACCGATAGGTGTCTCTCTCTCAGTGTATATATACCGAGAGGTGTGTCTCTCTCAGTGTATATATTCCGAGAGGTGTGCCTCTCTCAGTGTATGTGTACCGAGAGGTGTGCCTCTCTCAGCGTATATATCCCGAGAGGTGTGTCTCTCTCAGCGTATATATCCCGAGAGGTGTGTCTCTCTCAGCGTATATATACCGAGAGGTGTGCCTCTCTCAGCGTATATATACCGAGAGGTGTGTCTCTCTCAGCGTATATATCCCGAGAGGTGTGTCTCTCTCAGCGTATATATACCGAGAGGTGTGCCTCTCTCAGCGTATGTATACCGAGAGGTGTGTCTCTCTCAGCGTATATATACCGAGAGGTGTGTCTCTCTCAGGGTATATATACGGAGAGGTGTGTCTCTCAGGGTATATATACCGAGAGGTGTGTCTCTCTCAGGGTATATATATGGAGAGGTGTGTCTCTCAGGGTATATATACGGAGAGGTGTGTCTCTCAGGGTATATATACGGAGAGGTTTGCATCTCTCAGTATATACACAGTGAGAATTTGTTTCAATCCTTATTTTAAGAATGAAAATATTTTTTATATTAGCAAATAAGGGAAAATCGGAACCTGAAAAATGACCATCACGTAGTAACATTTTTTAAATTAAAACTCTCAATGAGTAGAAGAGCAAGATACATGTAAAACAAGTGTGGTATTTGAACTGAGATGTTTCGCTTGTTCAGCAGGCTTCTTCAGTCGAAATACAGGGCATGCGGAAGTTGTGGCTTTGCAGATATGGGGTAATCAGTCCCTGTCGCATGTTCTTACTAATTTACTGGTCGATACATATAATAACGTTACAATAATGAAACTGTGTGAAAATAGTGCTTCGATCAAGTGCTCTTGATCGAAGAAATAGGAGCTATCGTTCCTCTTCTTGGATCAGACTTAATTGCCTCCCATTTCCTTCGTAGGGTAAGGGTTGGCCCATTTATTATTAATAGTAACCAACGGGAAATTGGGGCATAAATTTATTTCCCATCATTATGACAAGAATAAAAATGATTTGAAATGCAGTTACCGTGTTAATATATCGTCTCTTCACCATGTAATAAATTTAATTTAATAATTCATTATATATTATTTCAAGCAAAAGGAAAATTAACATTAAGAATAAAGTAGTGAGAATAATGGGAAATTTTTTTTAACTACAAAATAACAAGGAGAGCTAATATGATAACGCACACTGTATAAGTAGTAGTAGTAGTAGTAGTAGTAGTAGTAGTAGTAGTAGTAGTAGTAGTAGTAGTAGTAGTAGTAGTAGTAGTAGTAGCAGTAGTAGTAGTAGCAGTAGTAGTAGTAGTAGTAGTAGTAGTAGTAGTAGTAGTAGTTGCAAGATTTACCTCTCATTTTACTCGTTGATGAGAAAGAAAGAAGAGACCAGCATTCCTGTCAGACTGTGATGCATTTTCACAGTTTTCCGTCTCGCACCTGTGACTGGACGGTAGGGCCTCCCTGGGTAGCTGCCGTCTACCAACCTACAGACAGTCTGTCATTAAATGATTTATCTGCGACGGTGTTTTTCTTAGTTTATCATTATCAGGGGAACAAATGGTATGTTTTTTACGCAATTCAATTTATAGGCTAAGAGGTTTTATCTTGAATCAGCACATTTATAAATTTGAGCTCTATCTATAGTATTACTACCATTTCTCACAGGATGCCATCGACAACAATTGACTGACACTCAGGTTCTTAGTTACTGATAGATGAACATTGGCAGCAGGTAGTATGGAGGGTCTGCTACGCCACTCTCAGAATGTGAATCATACTTTGGTTTCTTTTGTCTTGAGGGAAACACTGTAGCCTCAAATTACCAGTCAGTATCTTAAGCACTTGCATGACTGCAACTCATCATGTATTTTCAATTTTAATCTTGCACGTGCAAGTCGCTTCGGGAACATCATTCCACAGACTGAGTGAACCTGCTTCCTTGCACCTGCAGTCCATTTAGCGGCTGATTACCTCTCGTTACCATGACATACCTCTGGGCTCCAGTCTGGCAGATATTGTGTTGTTTCTCTCCTCTTTCTCCTCCTACTGCTTCTTCGTTCCACCTCTGCGACACACGAAAGGGCGATTATTGCATCTCTCTGGAAAGACGAGAAATATTTGACATTGGATCTCCTGGATCAGGCTTTCCTTGACGGGAAAATCTGCTGTTGAATTCTCTCGTACACATATTGTTGAATAGTTTTCTTGAAATATACAAGAAAAATATATATATATATATATATATATATATATTATATATATATATATATATATATATATATATATAAAATATATATTATATATATATGTATATAATGTATATGTATATATAATATATATATTTATATAAAATATATATATATATATATATATATATATATTAAAAATATATATATATATAATAATTTATATATATATACAGTCTCGTTATATATACACTGTTGTTCCTAATGTATATCCAATTAGAGACATGCATGCATCAATGCATCGGAGAATATGCGTTATTGATCGTTCTCTAGGTAAACAAACTGACATGTAATGAGCACTACTTCAAAACAAACAAGGTACTGATTGTTATACGACGATTTATTGTTGTACCAATTTGATTTACAGCGATATGCATCATTTTGTAGCGCAAGGTGAATTTTAAGACGACAATGCATCAACATAATTGTTTTGCTTTTGTTAGAGGCTCAGGAATTATATTTTACATAAATATACATCAACTACACAAGTTTCTTCTTTGTAATTCTGTTCGTTGTGTGAGACGTTAGTATGCTGGTTAAGAATCGTTTCATGAAGAACATTTAGCATTGAATCCTTTTTCTTATTTAGAAAAAGGTTGGACAGATATTGGAGTAAGAAAGGTTGTGTGTGTGATGAACCTGCCTTGCAAGGGCCGGTAGACCTGCTGCAGCACTCTTACCTTCTTGTGTTCCTTATAGGCAATGGTCATGGTGGTGGCGCTTTGAAAGATTCATACCTTTGTACGCTAATAATAATATATATGCATATACATTGGCACAGACACTGCACAGGTACATTACACATGTGCAGACATTGCACAACTAACATTTAGAGTTCGAGAACGAGCTGTCAGAGATTTTTTCTGGTTTACATTATTTGTGCTGTACCAGTATATATGCTTTGAACTGACTCAAGAAATCGTAATGACGCGACGGGCTGGAGTTTTGAGACTATGACCGCGGGTTCAATCCCGGCCGGGGGTATGGTTTTTTATGCTTTGAACATTTGTTATCTGAACAATGCATATTTTTCCAGGTGTAAATATTTTTGCCTCTTTATTTACTTTTTTTTCCAGCTGTAAATGCTTATTTTTCTTTTTGTAAATGCTTGTTTTCTGGTTGTTAAAGTGGTTTTATTACTGTAAATGAGTTTTCTTAATGTTTTCTAGTTATAAGTACGAGTTTTTCCAGGTGTAAATGCTCGGGCTTTAACCTCTAAATGCTCGTCTTTTCCTAGCTTAAAATACGTGTTGTTTTAGCTGAATACGTGTGAGTATTTTTCTGAGGTATATACTTGTTTTTTCCTTGTCGTTCAGTTATGTTTTTTTTTCTTGTTGAATACCTCTGTGTTTTCCCGCGGTTCATATCTCCATTTTGCTGTATATTTCTCCTTTATCTTTCTGTGTATATCTCTTTACCCCTGTCGTGCTTCTCTCTTTGTTGTCTGCTGTGCATCTCTCTCTTCTTGCTGTACACCCCCCTTTTACCTTGTTGTACTGTACATATCTCTTTTTCTCTATTGTATAGACATTTTTTTTCCTGTTGTTCAAT